CCCGCCCCGCCACGTCCCGCTCGGCCGCCGGTTCCCGCCCCGGCGGCGCATCGCGGCGGCGGGGCATGGCGTTCACGCTCTACTCCTTGTTGCAGGCCGCGCTCCTCGTCGTTAACGCCATCGCCGTGTTGCACGAAGAACGCTTCCTCCGACACGGTGAGCGACGGGCCGGACCGGGCCAGGCCCGGTCGCGGCGACGCGTCGTGTCCCGTTCCGCTCCCCCCGGCCCGGCTCGGCCCGGCGGGGCCTCCCGAAGGGAGAAGCCGCCCGGAGCCCCGGCTGGCGTTCCCCGGTCGTTGCGGCCCGGCTCTCGGCAAACCCGGGGATGCCCGGGGCCCACCGGGCCGCCCCCCCGCCCCCCCGCCGCCGTTCCTTGCCGGTGCGAATATCAGCGTGCAGGGAACGGCTCCGGGGCTTTCGGTCTTGAATTTTCTGCCGGTGCGGTTGATGTCGCTCCTGTCGTTGCTTTGTCTCTTCCCCACCCCCCCCTTCCCTCCGTAATTTTCATTTTTTTTTTTCCTGTGCGTTTCTACTGTTTCGTCTCCATTTGTGCCGCACGTCGGGAGGATGTCATAGCGTGAGATGGTTTCTTTCATCGCATTGTGCCTTTATTTTTTTTTTTGCGAGATAGCGCTTCTCAGGCTTCGCACGTTCACGCTCGCGGTTCTGCGGTGCCGAGGAAGGACCCCTGAGGTTGGGCACCCTTGTCCTTTAAAAGAAAACAAAACCCTACAAAACACAGAAGAACCACAGACGCGAAGATCTGCCAAGCCCCAGAAAAAAACCTAATTACCTATGGGCCAAGGTTTCCCCCAATTTCCCGATCTGGAGAATCCTGACTTCTCCAGGTCAGGCTGAGTTAGGATTTTCTGCGGAAGAGCGGAGAATTATCCCTTTCTCCCGCTCCCCAGCAGGACTCGCTGCGAGGGACTGGCTGGGTTTGGGGTTTTCTTTTGCTTTCCTGGTGAGCAGCAGCTCGAAGAGAAGGGAGGAGATGTGGGGACTAACCGGCCGGGTGAAGCCGCTTGTCAGCCCCAGGTGACTCAGGAATAACTCCATGCTCATCCGAGCGGGAAGCAGCGGCTGGTGAGGCAGAGGATTCGCTGACAGCCTGCTGCCAGCAGACTGAGGGAGGAAAAAAAAAAGTTGGGGGAAAAAAAATAATCACTCATAAGTTGTCTCTGGAGAAAAGAAAACTCGCAGGTTGGGAGTTTTGCAGCTTTGAGTATTGAGAGCCACTCCCTGCTCCGCTCCGCTCATCCCCAAATGGGTCAGGGCTGCGACCAGCAGGACTTGAGACACCGCCAGTCCCCTCACTGGGACCACAGGTTCTGCCTCCCCACAGCGGGTAGGGAAGGGCTTCTCCCTTGAAGGGCTTTGTAAACCTGCAGTACTTCTGTCATCCTCTGAAAAGTTCTCAAGGCACTGGTTTTTGGTTTTTTTTTTTTTATAGCAGTTACAAAAATCATCATTCCCATTTGGAATTTGTGCTGACTGTTTTCTGTCCTGCAGCTTGTTTCTCGGTGCTGAAGCATCACTTTGCACCCAACCACCATTTGCTATTTTATCTTCTGGTAAAGGACTGTGAACAGACGGTAGTTTGTTTGGTTTTGTTTTGGCGGGGGTTCTGTTGAAGCCCAAATAAAGTCGTTTGTTTCTGTGGCACGTAGGGTACAGCAGTGTATTAAAAAGGTAAGGGTTTCCTTTACAGAACAGTTCATCTGTCATTACTGTTGTGTTCATTAAAAGGTTTAATGGTTTTCAGTATATTGTGTTAAAATCTGATCTTGAAATAAAGTGAATTGGTTTGTAGTTTGTTTTTCTAATGTTAGTGATAAACTTAACCATATTCATTGACATCGCTGATAGCATTTGTTGCATGGTTTTGGGTTTTTTTCCCTAACCTGTCTGGCTGTTTTTGTGTGACACAGTTGGCTGGGGAAGTGATCAAGGGATTGGAGGATTTGGAGAGGAACCAGGAATTAAAGCGCAGCTAACGAACCTTATTCGATCTGTACGAACCGTTATGAGAGGTGAGGTGACAGCCTTTTGTTTAAATACCATTGTCTGTAAAGTTTTGTTTCTGTGCTTTGATGAAGTAACATCAGTATTTTGACTCTCTTTTACCAAACTGCTGCTATTTCTGCTCGTCATTTCCAATCCATCCTTCCTTTGCACGAGGACTCAGTGTAGGAGGGCGCAGGTCCCAGCTAAGGTGCCCTGATTCTGATAAAGTGTAAAAAAAAAATACCCTGACTCTGGCTTGTGGCACTGCTGCTGCATCTTGTCTTTCCTCAGAGTTTGGGAGCTGGGTGGGGGAAGCTTGGCGATCAATCAGAGCACGCAATTAGCTTCACCCTGGCTAAATTCAATTTTGTGTGAAGTACCTGGTGAGGGAAATGTAATTCGTGGGATTCTTAAAGGTAAGCCAGGCTTACGTACCTCAAAGGATGGGGAAAAAACCAGACTCTTAATTTGTAACTTACTGATAGTTTTTCACTTTAAAGCACAGGACAAATTCCTTTTATGGGTGATGATAAAGGGGATGTAAAAAGTCTTGTCTGTCTTGCCTACCACAGAGCAAAAACTGATACATTTCTTCTAAATCACAGCAAAGCCAAGGGTAGAAACTGACTTTGAGGCGGTCTAGTTTCATTTGGAGAAAAGGTTCTTTGGGTTAAAGTTAAAACATGATGGGCCATAGAAAAATATTTATGCTGTTGCTTCCTACCAATTTTTAGTGTCCTAGGCTTTGATCCTGGCTCCTTCCACTCATCCTGGTTTTGCATAGGAAAAATAAGTGTATTTTTAAAATTTTGATTGTTTTTGCTCCTTAAAAGGTAGTCTCCCAAGATAATGTGAAGTTCTGTCACTTTGTGACGTGGAAAAGAAAATTTTCACCATTGCTCTTCTTTTCTTTTTTTTTTTTTTTTTTTGTCCTATAGTGCCATTGATAGCAGTGAACTCCGTTACGATCATTCTCCTCCTGTTGTTTGGTTGAAGATACCTGGTGAAAATCTTTTGGACATCCAAAGAAGCGAGTTGCTAACCATCACTGCTCTGAGTTTTCTGGGATCCAGCACGGTTTAGCTGTCAATTTGACATTCAACTTAAAATAATAAAGACACTATTTCTATTTATCCTATTTCCTAATGTTCACTTGCAGTTTCATTAATCAAGATAATGGGATCAATGCAACGACGCTGCAAATACATCGGACTATGACAAATTCTGTTGCTGTCTGTTAGTAGCGTTGACTGTTAAGAGTAATGTGTCGCAACATATTGCAATGATTGTCAATAGGATGCGTTTTTTAAATGTCTCGTTACTCAGGGATGAATCTCCTTCAGTACGCTTCCCAATTTATCTTTAAATTAAAAAAAAACCATGGTGTTTTTTATTTCAGTTAATACCAGAGTACTATTTAAGAGAATACAAATTAGGCTCTGAAAACATGTTATAAATTATTGAAGTACGGTTGTGATATTGAAGGAGATAAAACTAGCTGGGTAAAATCCTGATTCAGTTCACATTGCAAGTCGAATGTTCCTGGTTTGATTGAGACCAGGATTTTTCTCGTGGTGTTAGACTTTTCAAATCAATAAGGTTTCATGCTGATGGTGAAGTAAGTTGAAAATAGGTGCAATTGCTATGCAAAATCTAAAAAAGCTTTACCTGAAGCTGGGCAACTCTGTGTTAATTTAGACTAGCAGGTGGTATTAGCGATTAGCATTTGTTACTGTTCTGTCAAGGATTATTACACTTTTTTAAATGTGTGTTAAACTTCTGCGTGGTGATTAGTGTTGGAAGTGGGGAACCATTTGTATTCCGAGCTTCTTGGGAAACGTGGGAGGGGAATACTGTGCCCTTTTCAAATGGAATTCTTTGTTAAAAAACAGCAAATTTGCAGCCTCTTCTGTTACTGCTGCTTCTTCCCCCGCCCTCCGTCTTCCTCTGTTAAATTAACAGCTTACTGAAATTGAAACTGTGGGTATGATCTTGCAGTTCTGTCGCAGAGAATATTGCTAATTGCTTTGGTACAGATCTTGTCTCAATTAAGACTGCTGGGTTAGGTCAGATGTTATGTAGCAAGTCTGAATTGAAGAAGGCCAACTCTCATTCTTTAGAAAAGTTAGAAGTCTTAGGTCTGTGCCTCTGCTAAAGTGTTTTAGCTTATTTTTGAAGTGGGGAAGGCCAAAGGAAACCTGGCAGTTTCATTATTTTAAAACAGCTTAGTTTAGTTTATCATTTCTTCTTCCGACATCTTGATGACTAAAGCATACGCCGTTGTGTACAAAGATAAATCTGTAAAATGTGTAAATTAATTTAATGATCCTCAGTTGCAGTGTTTTGCAGAGTAGAGTATATCCAGGAGGAGAGTTTTGTGTTGTTTCCTTTTTCTAGTGAAAACTTGTAAATAAATTCTGAATTTCTAAGTTAAGCACTTTCTTTGATATCTTGCTCTATATTGGTCTACGGTGGGAGTATTTCAAAACTCAGCTGCATCCTGTTCCAGATACCAGTTACTGTTCTTACATGAAATACTTTTTTTCTCATCCCTGTGGCACTTGGAACTATCATCTCTTTGCTATGAAGCTGTATTTTGGTTTATGTAGCAAACCTAATGAGCCAGGGTAACGTTGGCCAGAGGCAGAATAGGATCATGCTAGCCTTTGAATTCTAGAGTAGGTAGATCTGTTATAAAAGTATTTCTTTAGAATAATCTTTGTGTAATTCAGAGGTGATGAGGGTACAGTCTGGATTAGTTACTTTCATATATCTGTCTTTCGTGGTAACTGGACAGTGTGTATGTGGAACAGATAAAACACAGGTGTGCAGGCCTTTTTTTGTAAAATCATTGTAAAAAAGCAGTGGTAGGTGTTTCCATTGCTGATGCATTCGATTGGAATGCTGAATGGTTTCAAGCACAGCTTGCCTACCGTTTCCTTTTCATATATATTGACTGTTAAAACACTAGTTCTTACTAAGATAAAAGCCAGTACTAAAGATTACAACCAAAAGATTTAAAAACAGGCGAAAAGTGATTTTTTTCCCCATCTTCCTGTCCCTTCAGAAAGGCCAGAGTTTTCAAAGCATAGCTTAGAGCACATGGGCAGATCATTTCAAAATCAATTAGGCACATGCAGTAAAAAGGAGCAGCGGTTCTGTGCAGCAGGAATCCTGCATTTGAGGCAAAACTGGGACGCGTTTTACCTGGCAGATGCAAAATAGTGATTCAAAGTGGGGCAGCAGCTGAAGATCAGGTCTCCCAGGTAATGAGCAGAGAAGAGGGCAAAAGGGCAGACAGCAGACAGGCAGAGAAAGGACTGCAGAGAGACAGCAGGGGAATAACTATGCTGCCGCTGTCTCCTCGTGTGGCTTTGAGCGGTTCTGCTGTGACCAAGTTCAAACAAGGTGAAGCACTTCAAGCCTGGCCAGGGCTTGGGCTCTTCAGTAACAGGGAACGTGCAAAAAAGTTTCCGCTTGGCAAAGAGCTCCATGTACAAAGTAGCCTGGGCTCCAGTAGTCACTTCAAACCACAAAGCTTTATCACTCGTACCTGCCACAGAAATGACAATAACCAGAACATTTTACAGGTCAGGATGAGGACTGAGACTTCCCAGTGTAGAATAATTGGTTCTAGTAAGGGTGTGTAAACAGAAGATGCTTTCGTGGCAGTCAATTGCAGTGTGGTGGTACCAGTCGTGGCTGGCTGTGTGGGGAAAACGAAGCTTGTGGGACACTTCACAGAGCTTTTAGTGCAAATACAGACAGGAATAAGGGATCAGTTCTGTATAGCTGTACTGTTAAAGGTTTTGTTTTGAAGGGCATGGGGACAGGCGGAGGGAAAAGTAAGAAGACAGTGGGTTTGTACACAAATAAATGAATCTCAAACTCCGTTTAATTAGCTCTGACATGTCACCTTAGGTTGCACTGTTACGAATTCAGAATTGTACTATCTTATATACCTTGGATTTTTTGATGTACCATCACGATCTGAAACTGTGAATGCCGATCATACTTAATTCACTGACGTGCCCTCGTTTCTCATGAAATCCTAACTGCAACAGCTTAAAACGCAATTGCCTCTGAGCACGTTTTCTGTACGTTGCCTCTCCTGCAGATGAGCACGGCCCGCTCTGCTGCCACCACAGCCCGAGCGTCGTCTCCACAGCCTGGGCCTTGCTCCTGCCACGGACGAAGCGCAGTCCTTACAGTTACACCCCTCCAACAGAGCGGCTGGAGCAAGCTGAGCCTCCAAACGTCCACCAACACCTCGCTGGCCGGCTTCAGCCGGGAAGCGCATAGAAGCCGTACCACCCCCAGATAACTGGGGGCCCCACCAGCTCCTCCTTCACACCCCCTCAGCCTCCAGCTCCGGGCGACAGACCTGGCCTCGGCATCAGCCGCCTCAGCTCCCGCCGCTTCCCGCCTTTTCCTCTGAGGCGCCGCGCGCCCTCTGCCCCTCAGCGCCGCCGTGGCCCCCGTCGCCCCGTCGCGGGCTGCCCGCCGCGCTGCCTGTCGGCGACTGCCGGAGCCCAGCCGGGGACACCGGCCCTTGAGGGCTGAGCCCCCGCCGCGGGTCCGCGGCTGCGGCGCCGGTGGTTAGGAGGGAACCGGCGCTCGGTCGGGCAGCCCCGGCTCTGCGAGGACCCCGCGGGGTGGGCCGAGGAGGCGGCGGGCAGTGCGGAGGGGCGGCTGGAAGCAGGTTAGTCTCGGGGAGGGCGCCGCCGCTGTAGCCGGCACGCTGGCCTCCCCTCTCGTCCGACTGCGCCCGCCCGACTTCTTCGGGCGCGAACGGGCGGGCGGTACCATCCGCGTCACGGGAAAGGGGAGCCGGGCGAGCTCGGAGAGTCCCTCTCCAGAGAATGGACCGGCCCACCTGCCCGCTTTAAACTGGCAGAAAGAGGCCGTACCATTTCCTCGGCTGGGGGGTGTGGAGGTTAGTTGTATCCTCGTGCCCTTTCCAATATGGCGAGGGAGGGAGGGAAAGGCATCCGTCCTCGAAGGCGTTGTGGGGCAGGGGACCAGTCCCGGGGCTCCCCAGCGAGCAGGGAGGCACTCGCTGCCCCCGGCTCCTCAGGGGGCAACGGCAGGCCCGCGGGGGAAGCCGTGTGGGCTCTCTGCGGGGCTGGGTGGGTGGCCCCGGAGCCCGCAGCCCCACTCCCCTCAGCGCCTCCTGACCCGGGCCCGGGCCGCTCTACTGCCTTGTCCTGGGGCTCGTCAGTGGCTTCAGGGGCTCCTGCTTGGCTGCCTGGCCTTCGCTGGGGCCCTGTGGGGTGGGCCTGCCGTGGGGTGGCCCTGCAGTGGGGTCTGGGGGAGAGGAGGAAGAGGAGCCGGGGGAGGCCGGGCCTGCGTGGGCAGCGCCGGGCACCTTTGCCGTGGAGAGCAGCCCCTCCGTGGCTCCAACGCTTCTGTGCCATTACAAGCCTTCCCGTAAGGGGCCAAGGCCTCTTTCCCCGTGGGTTGTGAGCATCTTGTTGCGTCCGTGTACGGCGTGTAGGTCCCTTAGACTGCCAAAGACCAGGTGGGAGTGGAACTGGATGGTCCCTCGTGTGCTGACCAGCCTGAATTATCATATGGCTTCATCCTGTTGCCGTAGCTGTAATGCCAGGACGAAGGTGAGGTTCCCCTGATGTGTTGGGCTGCGATTACGAAAACTGAGGTACTGAAGCTTTTTGGGACTTTCTTGCTAGGCCATGAGCTTTATACTTAAAATCAGCTGTGCTGAAAACTGGTCCTGCAAATAACTTCCATACCACCCCAGTAAATACACTGCGAATAGGAGAACCAACGGAGACCTAGGGTAGAAGAGGAAGAAGAAAAAATCCCATTTCTGCTAATCTAGGTTATTCTGTCCCTGTCCTTAGCTGTGCTATCTGTGCAGGCATGGTGCAGTTGCTCTGCAGTCATGTGTCTTTGGCTAGAGAATTTATATAATAGCACCTTCTTCAGTCCTCTTTTTAATCTCTCTCAGCTCTCAAAATTCCTTGTGCCAGAGTTGAAGTGCCTGAGGGAAGAGAGGTTTTTTTTGTCATGGAGATAATGTGGAGTCATGCAAATTCCATTTCATTCAGGCACTTTGTCTGCACTAAGTATTTTACTCAGAGAAGGTGTCTTAGAAACCTGGTGCCCTCTTTTCCCATGCAATTGATGAAGCTCCCTTAGGAGTTCTGTTATCAGCTTTGTATCGTAGACATTTAACCTTGGCCTGTGTAGGAAGAGACATACTATAAAATAAGCATTTTTATATTTTTTTCTTATTGCAGGGAACCAGCAGGAATAATGAAAGTGGAATCTCAAAGTTTTCTGTGTGTGTCTTGTACCTGAGACATCAAGTTCACATGATCTTGATCATTGATAAAACTGTCCTGATAGAAAATTAAATTTATTAAGGCAGGTTCTAATCATGGTGTTGACTACTCTGCCTGTTTTTTTAGAAGTATATACATGTTACTTGTTCTGCCTGTAATCAAACCAGCTCCAGAATAAAATCATGATGACTTGCTAGTGATGACAGATCAGATAGTCATTATTGTCTAACAGAGAGGAGAAAAGCTTCCATATTGGACGTTTGCTAAGAAATAACTCAGCAAACTTGCTTGTGGAGCAAAATACAGCACTTGCAGCACACTTAAGGAGAAGTACTAGTTTCTGAAGACAGCTTTTTAGCCAGGTGACTTGCACATGACCTCACTGTTTTCTTCCCCAGTGCCTTTACCCTTTGAATGCTGGCTTCTATCTTGGGCTGAGTCTCATGTACCTATTTGTGTGACACAGAAGCTTGCTGTAGAAAAAATTCTTGACTGTCCCCTTTGCAAGAGGAGGGAGTAACCCTTTGGGGTGCTGAATATCTGTGAGCCCTGAAAGCTTCCAGGCTAACAGTCTGCAAATTCATGCTGTCACATAGATAGCCAACCACCGAATAGGCTAAAAGTTGGGGCATCTGAATTGTGTTGTGGGCTAGATCACCCTAGATCTTGCTTACAAAAATAAAATTAACAATATCCACTTTTGCAGAGCATTTTGAGCTTTATAGTCAGAGCACTGTGTCATCGCTTAGTAGTATTATATTTATTTTTACTTGAACAGCGCCACTAGTGTCAATGGGACTTGCCGAAATGTGCTTGCTGAGGCCTTGAACCAGCAATACCAGACCTAATGATCCTCTTCTCAACAGCCTTAGTTGTTTAGAGAATTTTTTGACATGCACAAATAAAGGCACTTAAAAACCAAATAGCACCTGATTTCCATATATAGAGTCTTTGGGAAAATACCACCCCATCAATTATGTATTTTTTTTAAACACTGCCTTTTATTTCTCTGTCTAAAGGGGCCCATTTAATACTGCGAGTAATGTTCTGAGTAATACCGGGCTTGGCACAAATGAGGCGCTTAACTGAGTTCCTTATTTTTATTATCCATTGTCTGCTAACCAGTTTTTTGTTGTTTCATTTATTTGTCTTTTCCCTGGGGAAGGAAGGATGGCAGCTCGGCGTGCGCTGAAAACTGTCTTGGTGGATCTCAGCGGCACACTTCACATTGAAGACTCAGCTGTGCCAGGCGCGCAGGAAGCTCTTAAAAGGCAAGCTACCTTTTTTGATTTCCTCTGATAGGTTATATCAGCACCGTTTGCACAAAGACTCTTCTTTAAGTAAATGGGCCTGAGGCTTCTGCCTTTTTACGCTGTTGTCGATGAGCAACTATGTGGCCAAATTCTGCTTTTATTTATACCTGTATTAATACCAAGAGAAATCAGCAAAGGGCCTAGATACTGAAAAGTTGCCATATATCATCTGAGCCCCCACAGCTTTCCTAAGTTGCTCTCTAGGTCTTATCTAAGTCTTTTCTAGATAGAAGAAGACTTAATATTCAGAATGTTTCGGCTAATTCATACGGGATTGCAGCCTTAACCGAAGTGGAAAGTAGTTAAATTAATCTGAATTACCCTATGTACACCTAAGTCACTTCAGCTGAGCTGTTCCTCGGTGCTTTGTTTAACTACAGAACCCTGATTGTACGCCTGAGCCCTTAGGGCTGTGGTGAGCTAGAGTGGAATAACAGAAAGAATAGCTTGGCCTGGTGAGCAAGGCATCCTTTGCAGAGTTCTCATTTCATTTGGTCTTTCAGCCAAGGCTTTGCTTTATTATTTTTAAAGTTTTTTTCTGCTAGGTAAACAACCTCAACTGTTTTTTAGTTGGAGAAACATTTGATAATACAGCCCATCTTTTGTAGGAATTTCAACACATTATTAAGCAGGACAGTTAAGTACCTCTTTCTCTTCTGATGAAAGGGTTCCTAAAGAAACTGAGGCATAGTAAAATGACTTAATCTGGCCGAGTCAGTGGCAGAATAGGATACGCCATGCCAGGGACCTTTGTACTGTGTTATGACACTTTTCCTGGAGAAGGCATCTTGCAATGGGTGAAGAAAAACACAAAGTGATGTATGCTGTTGTGGTGAGGGAGGACACCTTAAGATGCTGGGAGAGTAAGAATTAATCAGAGGAGAGGAATAGGGTTGAATTAAGGATGAGAAGTTTTTACTGGAGTTGTATTGGCTGCTTAGATTTTTATAAAGCTGGACCGTTGCTCAGAGGAAAAGTTCACAGAGGGATTAGGAAACTCTGCATTTCTTTTCACAAATAATTCTGTGGAAATAATTATCTCTTAAAGATGTAAAATTGCAAGGAAGTAAAAACTACTAAAGCATTGGGTACTCATTCATTACCTTTTAATTTACTGGACCGTGTCTGCTTGGTGTTTCATGATGCAGGGAGAACTTGTGCCAGGTGAGAGTCAGCGTTCTCAAAAATCTGTATCTATATGAAGCGGTGATGCTGTTGAGATCTGTATCTGTCTGCTGCTCAGTATCTGTCCTGTCTGCTGCTCACGTCCAAACCCCCAGGTGTTAGACTGGATGGAAGAAATAGATTCTGTAGAATCAGAAGACAAACTGTTTTCTAAAGCCACTGATTGTCTTTTGTCTTCTCTTCTCCTTGATTCCTACTGAGCCGTGCTCATGCAGGCCCTGTCCTGGCTTTGGCAAGGGAGGGGGCTAGCGAAGGGATAAGGTGCAGAGAATCTGGTTTGTCAGCTTCAACCTGCTGTCACAGGTATGGAGAGCAGGTGTCATTTCACTGCAAGGAACAGCCAGGTCTTTTTGCTTAGAGGTTTGAAAAAAATGTTTTCTTGTGCTCTTTTCTGCTAATCCATGTCATTGGCCTTCCTAAATAGAAGCTGAAACGATTGGCATGCATCTTGCTTAGGGAATAAATGGATAGATTCAATTTTTAGTGTTACTTCTCAGTACTGAGATCCATAGGAAAAAAAACCCAAATATGAATTTTTATTTTATTAGCAACCAGGGGAGTTTTTTACCAGTTCATACTTGTGAAGGGTCAGCATATCTGACAAACAAGAGAAAGAAGAAGTGGCAGGAGCAAGCAAGTCTCAGCGTTGACCAACTTTATCCTGATGTTCTCCATGCAGTCCCGATGCCAGAGTTTGTTTCTATAGCAACAAACAGAGAAAGTGATGGTGGGGGAGTAATTAAAGGGAACGCCGTTGAAATTGTCACTTAAAATTATTTGATTGTTTGGTAGCATGCATTGTCAGTGTAGGGCAATAATGTGGTTTTATGTGATATTGGTGTTCCTCAGTAAAGGGAGAAATGGCTGCAAAAGCTGACATAAAATTGCCACACAGGTAACACAGTCTCCTAGAGCATCCTGCATCTCTGAATGAGCCACAGCTGCTGTGAAATTCACCCGGCATGTGGAGTTCAATATATTAATTTAGCAACAAGGTTCTTTTGTTTATTTATTTTGGTTCAGGATGCTGTTGATCCAGAACACAGGGCTGGTTTATTATCTAGTTTGAATTAAAAGGCTTTTCAAACTAGTTGTTGATCATAGATGTGTTTGCTACTGCTGTGAAGATGGAGTTTGGAGTCACCATTTTCCTCCAGACTTTTCCTGGTAGAAGCAAAGCAGGGGAGACTTGGTCTTGTTCTGGTAGCTATAATTCTTGCCATCTGTTGCACATTGTCCTCCAGTCCACAGAAGTTAAGAACCTCATGGTTTTTGTGTGGCACCAGTACTCTGGGATGTATACAGTCTTTTCATCTGCAGCCTTTAGACAAACCATCTTTTTTCAGTCCCAAAGAGACGTTCGAGTGTGTAAATAGAAGGATGCTGTGGCCAATTTGCCTTTGCTCTTCATTCATCAGGCTGCGCAGTGCTCCGGTTACTATTCGATTTGTGACGAACACAACAAAGGAGTGCAAGAGAGACCTGCTGGAGAGGCTGACAAAACTGGGATTTGACATTGCAGAAAATGAGATCTTCACATCTCTGACAGCAGCCAGAAATCTTCTGGAGCAAAGGCAGGTGCGGCCTCTCCTCCTGGTGGATGATAGGGCTCTGCCTGATTTCACAGGTGAGGTGGTCAGAAAACAGCATGGTGGATGTTACTGAACAACTAAGGAAACATAATGCTCTCTGTTTTGTAGAATGACAATCATATATATACCACTAGCCACGATGAAAGCTGAAATGTGGAACTCTCCAGGGTCATAAAGGTCCGTCCTTTTTAAATTAACATTCAACAGTCTGAAGTCATAGCTTCTTTGAGGAGTAGTGGAAATGGCAGCCAGAGCCTTCAAATAGTCAGCAATTTGGGTAAAACTCAATACTTTTTATTAATTTCCAGTGTAAAAAAAAGACTAATACTTCTCACTAGATCATTGGAGATTTATTGCACTTACCAGTGCTGATTTGTTTTACAGCAAGGATGTGTCAACTTGTTGGAAATCAGGTTTCCCTCAGCTATTGCACAGAGGTTTTGCTTGTGAAGAGCTGAAAAGCCAGTGTGTAGATGTACGCAGGAGGCTATTTTCCCTTAATAGATTATTATTAAATGTAAAATCTCCAGGTAGTTATTGTTACTTATCTTGTATTGAACATCTAGGTCTCACTCCATGTACTTTGATACCTTAATTGGTGACAGAAGGCTCATCACCCTGACTTCTCTAGATTATCATCTCTAAAGTCCTGGTAAAAACTTGCTTTACTTTCAGATGTTCCGATTTCCCTCCCTCAACAGTAAGAGGGGTAGATGATGATAAATTCTAACTTGGACATGTCTGGCAGGTGCCTGAAGCTAGGATAGTTAGTCCTTGACTTAACCACATCGTTGTTTCAACAGTAGTGAAGGTACCCACGTTTTTAACATACTCAGAGTTGAAAACCATATATTGTATATTCAGTCTTTCATTTAAAGGCAGCAAAAATGTGGATGGCTTGCCACTGCTCCCTGTCCCTTGCCTTATGAACTGAAATCCTTGTGGCTGCGTAATTTAAGTAGGTTCTAATCTTGCTGGGAGCTAGACATTTCCTGTTAAATTTTAGTGCCATAGTCTAGTCAGTAATCTTCAGAAAGATAAGTGTACAGGAGAAAAGCCTCTGTGGGCTCTGAGAGCAATGAAACCTGATAATCTGTTCTGCCTAACATCGGATCCAGAGAAATATGCCCCCAGCAATATTCTGTATTTGTGTTCTTGGGAAGGCTTTCTTGGGTCGGAAACAGCAGAGACAGCAGCTATTTCACTGAAGGCATTTAAATCAGTTTAATCTCCATGTATTTGGGATCTTTCCATCAGTTTTACAGTAGCTGATGCTAATTTTGTAAAAGACGGCAAAAAGAGATACCAGCAGAGTATATTGGTGGCGTTATTTGTGATTGTTCTGTTTCTTTTTGCTGTGAGCGGTTTGGCTCGCATTCTGTCAGTGCTGCTCTTGAAACATTTAAGTACAATGGAGAATGCTTTAAATTCCTCTTAATGGCTGCTATCGAACTGTTCTTGGCTCATCTCTCTATAAAGTTGGTCACAGATGGATGAATGTAATCCATTCTTGGTTAAAGGACCCAGATGCCTTTGGGTAGTTTCACAAATCCACATGGCATCTCTGAGTGTACATTTTGCTGTCTGAGCTAACTGAAGGACACGCAGCAGGAGACATCAGCCAGCAGGCTGCGATGAAACTCTCTGGAGACCCAGGAGCTCTGGTTGTCCCAGTAAAGGTGTAGAGGATATGCTGTGTGAAGGCAGAAAAAAACCCCAGCAAGTGCAGGATGCAGCTGGTAACTTAACCTGTCATAAACAAAACTCTCTGGTACTCGTGTTTCTCCTGTAGATGCTACTCTGCTTCCATTGCTGGTTCTGTTCAGAGGTGGCACTGCCATGTAAAAACAGCCATGCTCCTCCAGAGCAGTGCAGGACAAAGGAGGTGCAAGCTGTTCTCGAGGGGACTAATCCACATTAAAAAAAAAAAAAGACCTTTCAGAAGAGCCAAAACTAATCTAGTGTAACAGCTTCTAGGTCATGCTGCAATACCATCTTTGCTGTCATAACCAGACTGATACGTAGAACAAAGTCAAGCTTTATACCCTAAGTGGAGTTTTCTGTGACTAGGGGGAATAGAAAAACTGGATGGAATTCACCAATCTTCCTGCTTTACTGTCTTACAAAGTAGATAAATATATGTAGAATGGGATTCTCAGATAACAGAGAGTCATTCAGTTAAAAAAGTGATTTGTGTGGTCTGCTGCATTTCAGTGGAGGCAATGAGAGAATCACTGTTCAACAGTCGCTGTTAAGGCTATCCAGCTGCAGAGTTGTGTTTGTTGTGAAGGATAGCAGAGTCTGGATAGAACAACACCTTTTCCACAGACACTTTCTTCATTTCTAAAAGACATAAAACTAGCCTATGTGATGTGTCTGTGTCAGAAAATGCTCGTTTTTGCTGTAGAGTGATTCATTGCATTTGTTGACTGTGTACTGCTAAGTATGAAGAAAATTCTGTTTGCTCAGAGTAATATTTTGATTTTCCAGGGATAGCCACTGATGACCCCAATGCAGTGGTGGTAGGACTGGCTCCTGAGCACTTTCACTATGAGATGATGAACAGAGCGTTTCGGTAAGTCAGCCCCTTGTGGCTTTTTGAGTGGCGGCTGTCTTGTGCTGGGCTCTGTACCTCCACATGTGTGAGGAAATCCTTCTCGTATGGGGAAAAGAGGGTGGTAGCAATGTCACAGTTACATAGCATGATTATTGTGTCTTCCTCCGTGTCTGAGAGAGCACCACTAACCATGAACTTCAGGCAGTCCAGCCCTGGTTTTCATAGCTTTCAGTCTATAAGTAAACTACAGAAGTACAGTCACGGTTGTCATTGAGGTGAAAAAGTTAGCAATGCTTCAAAAGGAATACACAAAACCAAGGATGTTGGGACGTATTTAGGAGACAGCTTCTATGTTCAAACCTCGGCCTTTGGAGCTCAAATATTATAGGGAAGGAAATCCAGTATTTAGGGCAGATTATTCCTTACCTACCTAGTGCAGGATTTCTAGCAATATCTTCTGAAGCGTTTTGTGTTCAGGAATGCCCAGCACAATATGCTGGGCTAGATGAACTATGGATCTGATCCGGTCTGTCTTATTTCTAAAGCTCTTTGTTTTGTGTGTTGATTAAGGGGTAAATCAGATAAAATTTATCTGTGACTGTACATGAGCGAGGATGCAATAGTCTGTGCAGAAGTGCACAGCCATGCATCCTTCCCTCTAGTGCTAGCTCAGCACAGCACCCTTGATTTTAACTTGAGCTGCAAAGACTTGAACACGGGCCCGTTGCTGAGTTTAGCCCTGGTGATGTGCTTTTTGTCTGTTGTGAAAACCACAGACAAAGGTCATCTGAACATGCCCCTTACACTGCACCCCAACAGAGCCTGCCATGCCTCCCTTTCATTTCACTGGGAGCTCTCTGAGCCCACTGTCCTTCCACAGCGGTTTGGGGCGAGCTGGTCGGCCTGGCCTTGTAACGCAGGAGGAGCACCCACTCCCAGCTGCGGGAGTGCTAACCCCCATGGGCAGCTGGTAACTGACTTTAGTGCTGTCTCAGAGCTGAAGAGGACATCTTGTCACACGCTGGGTAATTCCATGCCGTGCTACCATACATGCAATTAGTCCTTTCCACTCTTTGCTCATGAGGTGATGGCTAGCACACAATTTTTCACCTTGGAATTTGAAAAAAACCTGATCTCAAGCCCCTTAATCTGTCTTTATGACCACTAAATCTGAAGAGGGAGTATCAATTACTGCTCACCAGTGTCTTATGGAGGCTCCTTGGAGTAGGAAGCCAATGCTGTCCTTATCTGCATGCCAATTCTGTGTCATAAGAACATGTATTGACCCAAACTGATTCTTGGGCAGCGTCATTAGTGCATGTTGCCAATGATGCCATTGATTTTAGAGTTTTACAGCGCACTCATGAGTGGACTCTAATTTCACAACTGCGTGAACTTAAACCATCATGTATTCCAGTGCTTACATCATTTTATTTATCGATATTTCTGTCACGAATGTATTAGCTGTTGAATGATAGTCGTTAGCTGCCTCAGGCTGGAGACTGGAACACTCGCAGCAAGAAACCAGTCATCACATTCAGAGTCCCTGAGGACTCCAGGCTTCCCCAGGCCAGCACACAGAGGAAAGCCTGCAGAACTGGCCCCGCGGAGGTGGGTGAGGTTGTCCCAGCCTGGATTTGTTTTTTTTGCGTTAAACACAGAATTGGACACTAGCTCTGGTGATGGAGGGAAGGTGCTGAAGGCCAAATCCAGTCCCTTGCAGTGGGCGCGGCATGGCCTTGCTGCCCAAGAGAGATGTATTCAGGGGGTAGCATGGAGCCTGTGCTGCCTGAGCATCCTATATCCAGGGCTGTCTGGGTGGTGCAGCTGAGTATTGAGCCGAGTCCTTCAGATCACCTTGCCTTGTGCAGACGCATTCCCAGCTGCTCGGCTGACTTGTCTGCCTGGAGGAAGATTTCATTCATCCTCTGTGAATCTGTCCTGGATTTGCCTGGTCTTTTCCTGGTCCTGTGTTTCAGGCTGGGCAGAGGCCCTAGGATGGGTTCTGTCTGATCTTTAACATCTCACTGACTTGTTCTGGGTTTTTCCCCCAGCCCTCTATTGAGGGTAAACTGTTTCGCTGGTGTCAGTTTTGTTTGTTCTAATGGAAATTCTAACTATTGGCCACATTCTCTTCTTCTCAAGCCTTGTGCCGTGTCCGTGTTCCTTGTCCTTTACTGCTCAGATGATTAAGTCACTTGGGATTTGCATTGCTCGCAGCAAAACTCTAAGGTGAATCTGATTAAATGCAGGTATCTACAGTGCCGATGCCTGTATCTGAGCTGGTGACCTGGGCTCCTGAGGGAGAGAGGAGGTGCCTGTGAGGCATCATTCATTTGTCCCCTAGTGGTGCTTAAAATAGGACAGTTGAACTGTGCCCTAGAAGTGCTTTTTCCTCTCCACTGACTGTGAAGAGCCCAGGCTGACTAATTATCTGGTAGGCAACTACTCGGTTGATATCCAACATTAGGTTAGGTAAATCTAACCCAGTATGAGTCCCAAAACGAGATACGCAGAGTAAGGCCATTCTCTAGGCACCATTTGAAGTGACTGAGACTAAATTTCTCTTTTTGTATACATGGGATTTTGATGCTGCATTTAAAGGAATTCTCTCAGGTGAGATCTTTCCTGCAAACTGCTGAATGTAAGTGGTTGTGGTGCTGCTGTCAAATTAAATTTTTCTGTATCCTAGAGGCATCCTCCCATCGTGAACATATCTGGCTGCTCACAGATACACATGCCAGCTCTCTTCTTGTTGAGCTTGCTTTGGAAGGCATTGATTTCACTAGAAGCATTTTGTGATAATTAAGTGAAATGAAATATTATCATTTATGTACTGCTCAGAGTACCCAGGCTGCTCTGCAAACATGTGGGAAGGAGGAGACGTCCTCGAAGGAGCATACAACTCACCTAGGCCAGCCTCTTTGAGCAGAGCCACAGCAGAGCTCCAGAAAGGCAGTGAAGGGGCAAAGCAAGATTTTGTTTGTTTTCTTAAAGGCGTTTTTTTGGTAAATCAGGCAGGGTTAAGAGGAATAGAAATCCTCCTTTCTGCCCTGAAGGTAACGGCCAATGTTTCTCCTCTGTCCCCCAGCTTTGCTAGACTGGAGTCGCTTCGGTACCTGCAGAAGGTGCTGTAAAATTGAATGGGAAGCGTTTGGCAGTCATTACCTCAACTTTTATAGATCCTGTCTGGAGGGCTTTTGTTGCACTGAAACCGAGGCTGGGGAGGGGGCGGACTGCAATAAAGTTGCTGTGCTTGGTAGCACCGAGAGGATTCCTGTAGCGCAGCAGCTACACAGGCTTCCCTTTGCTGCAGGACAGGTAGCTGATGTGTCTGCCATAAGGAAAAGCTACCAGGCAGGTAACAGAAATGGAAGAATCAAAGATTAGGTCCAGATTCTGTGAAAGCAAGCCCTCTTAAACTCCCTGAAGTGGATCGACAGGGGTGACAGGGTAGCGAGGCTAAGGAGGCGCTGACTGAGGTTGGTGGATTAACAGCGGTTTCTTAATTACTTCTTCCCTTCCGTTTTTCCACCTCTCCAGACAATCCCGTGTTCTGTGCAGGTTTTTAACAGGTAGGTCGGCTGGCAGGCAGAGATACTGTCTGTGGAACCCCGAGGAGGGGCAGAAACAGGCCCGTGTAAGGTGGGAGGATCTCAGCTGTTGGCAGGGAGCAGTTCCCAGTCTGTCCGACCACCGCTGCACTCACTTCCCAGGTGCTGTGCCCAGCCAAGACCCTCCCGAAATGCCGCCATACCGAGCATTATGACCCTTGTTTCTGTGGCCCTTTTATTGTGCTCAGAAGTGTTTGGAATCTGGTGACTTGTTGCTTTGAACTATCTGGAATTTTTGGTTCCCAACAGCGAGGAGCCCAAATCCAGCTTTGTTTCTAAAAGGCTCAGTAATAGTGCTGTTAACTGGGGAATTTGGTGGGACGTGAATGCGCCTAATATCTTTGTGCCTTTTCGTGTAACTTGTTACTGTAATTCCTCCAATGTTAAAATATAAAGTTAAGGTAAAGTGATTCACCTTCTGCTTGGGACTCACCTGAACACCCGTCTCTGATGGATACACGTAGCTGTTTGGCTGTTACAGGTGACGCCAACAGCCCCAAGAACTGCTGGGCTGCAGATTTCCTGGCAGCAGCAGCCTGAAAGCACCGCTGTGTTCTCAGTCCAGGCAAGGAGATCAAGGCTGTGGCCATCAAACTGCTACCTCCAGCCACTACCCGTGGTTAATGTATTTTAAAATATTTGCATGGGGAAATCAGATGGGTTCTAATGTTAGGATGTTTGCCTTAGTGAAAAGTGAGGCTGCTGAGAGTAATGGACCTAAGTGCATGAGAGAGAGAGACAGGATTTAAAAATAGTTACCTGTTAAAATCCTCAAGGTAATAAATTCTTTATTTGGGGGATTTGTTTTATTAGCTGTTTCTGGGGAAGAAAAAAGGAAGGAACTTTATTTAACTCTCCAAATAAATGCTAGCTTGCATTATAATTTGGGGCTTCATGAGAGTCAGTGTCATCAACTCAAATGAAAGCCAGTTCAGGCCTTCAGCTGCAAATATTGGGGTTTTTAAATTTAATTTTTGTACTTCCTTCTTCATCCATTCTTTAGGTTGATTTTGGATGGGGCTCCTCTTATAGCTATACATAAAGCCAGATACTTCAAGAAGAAAGATGGCTTGGCTCTGGGACCCGGACCTTTTGTAGCTGGGCTGGAATATGCGACAGACACCAGAGCGACAGTGGTGGGGAAGCCGGAGAAAACCTTCTTCTTAGAAGCTCTGCGGGGGACTGGCTGTGCCCCGGAGGAGGCCATCATGATTGGTGACGTACGTGGGGACCAAATACCTTATCACCTGCCCGTTAACATAGTGCTTATCTCCACCGCGTGTGGTGCCTCCCAAATGCCACGAACTTGATGTTTCTGAAAGTACTGAGATTAAACGAGGGGTGAAAATCAAACCATCAAAACTGGCAGGATTTAATGTGTAGTCCATGGGGTTAGTTCTCTTACTTCAGTTGATGTTCGGTCAGGCAAAAAGCACGTAGTAAATCATTCCCGTGACAGTTTGTCTAATAGGCAGCTAAACGATTTGGGTCCGTGTAGCTGCTTTTAAGTGGCTGGTTAGTGATGTGCAAAGCAGAGAATGTCATGAAAAAACTTGTTAACAAATAGTGTCTGTGACCACTAACCAGCGGATTTCCTGTTCTGCCCCAGGACTGCAGGGATGATGTTGGTGGTGCCCAGAACACGGGCATGCGTGGGATTTTGGTGAGGACTGGTAAGTGCTCGATGGAGCGGTCATTTCGGGAGACAGTGGTGCGTTCAGTGATGTAGTACTGGCAGCTCCCGTGCCCGAAATGAAGGTGCGCTCTGAGCCCTGGTGCTTTGTAGAGGCCTGCTGTTCCTGTGGTTTGTTACACCGAGGGGCTGCTGGGAGACCCCGAGTCCATTGCCCTGTGCATTTTGGGGTGAATGCAGCAGATCAGATACATTTCCTCGGCTGCAGTGTGGCAGCCAGGCAAGTAGTAGACTGCAATTAAGTCTGGATAGGCTGTTATATTTAATGTTTTGACAACAGGGCTAGAGCACAGACCCAGAACTGATAGCAGGATGATATAAAGTAGTAGATGGGAGTGGCTGATCTTGTAGGTGTGAATTTTTTGCTCTAATGACTCTAAAATCCTGAGCACTAATCAAAGAACAGAGAGAACTGTTACTGTGACATCTTCGATTGCCAAAATCAGTCACAGCAATGTAACCTCTGATCGTTCAGGAACTCTGGTGATATTCCCTAGTAATTACACTGGTAATTATAAAAGTCATTTTGCTTCAGACAAAAGTGGAACCTTAGGGGACTGACAGGTATTATCAATGTTACTGATGGCACCATGGACTGGGTAAGGTCTTTCTGAGGTGGCAGCTGCTCGCACCACACAGTCCATGTTGAAAATGAAAGCAAGTAATCGTACTCTTCCTCATAAAAGCCCGAAGGGAAGATAACATTATTATTTCAGGAACCTACAACACAAATACCTGAATAGTCAGTGAGTGAGTAGTGCATAGGTAACACTAATTCTGAACCAGAGCTACTCCTGAAGCAATCTGCAGTAAGGGTCAGTGTTTGTTTAGGGAAGATTTTGGGGGATGTTTGTTGCAGGAGAACCTCAGATGAGCAGTTCTCCTACTGTGTCTGGTTGTTACTGATCCGAGGAGGGACTGGAATTTCCAGGGAAAAAAAGGATACTCAAAGGAGCTTGGTAAATACATCTTTTTGTGAATCTGTTACAGGTAAATATCGACCAGCGGATGAAGACAAAATCAATCCGGCTCCTTACTTAACCTGTGAGAATTTCCCAGAGGCAGTGGAACACATCCTAGAGCGTCTGCTATGAGAAAGGGAATAGTTAGTTTGAAGAAACATCGGTCTTGCATCATTTCCTTTCCTCTTGCTTCAAAAATTAAGGTCACAGGATCAGTGCATGCATTGCATCAGAAACCTAGCCGTAAGCTCCTTCCACTCGAGTTGTGAAAGGGCAGAGGATGAGTGTGGGTCCCGGAAAAGCCCCTTTCCTGTAGTAGTTTCACGAGGACATGATGAGGGACCGTGGACACCCAGCAGGTGAGACAGAAAGGTTACTACCAACACAGCTGCTTTCCTGAACAACGTAGGGAACGTGGCAGAGAGTTCTGTTTATTTTCAGTTTTCAAGAAATAACTGATGCAAAGCCCTGTCTGGAAAGTGTCACATTCTTCTGCTGAATAAGCTAAACTGAAAAAACCCACTGGAAATACTCAAGTAAATAAAGCTCAAAGACTAATGACAGAGCCTTAGTCAGCCTGTAGTGATTTCACTGAGTATGCCTCTGCTCTGCTGTAATTTAAAGGTAGACATTATGCACATTTAGAAGTGACTTTTAAATTAAAATATCACCATTGTTTAATAATAACTACTGTTGATATCTTTCCTCTCATTAGAACAGATCGTGGTTTTGTTTTTCAAATTTTACATAAAATTAAAACTGTCAGCATTTTACAGATGTTTTAATTAGATGCTGTTATTAAAAAGAATGGTACAGAAACAAAAATCTGGTATTAAAAGCCTTAGAGACTGTGAATTTTTAAAATTAGACTTCAGCAGGGTCCTATTAATGCTACAGTTGCAAATTTTCACTATTGTTGGGGGTTTTTTTGTTTCTTTTTAATGTTATGGGAAAAATCCTTTACAAGCCATAGGGACAGATTCCAGTTTTTACACAGTTGGTTAGTAGAGCTGTAAAATGAAATTTAATTCTGTAGTATGCAGTGCTTCTCCTATGTGCTAAATCCCCCAATATGAACCAACTTTGTAATGATGGTAAATAGCTTTTCTGGTCCATTTGCAAACTGTAATAATCAAAGTCCTTTACAGTTGTTTTACAGTGCTCCTGAGTGTTAAATTATTAGATTGTAATTATACATTACTGGAGTAGTGACCTTATTGAAAATACAGTTTTGTGTTAATGAGCCATGCTCGTTCTTGTTAAGAAAAATCATTGTGATGAACGAATGGGAAGCTCTCCTTACATGAAAGAGCATCTATGTGCAGTCTCACTTGGTGGGTGGTTGCCTACATTCAGATTTAATCACTGTCCGAGACGGAATGTGTGGACAGAGTAGACTTTGTAGTAGAAACACAGTAGAAACAGTAAAACCCCCAGGAACAAAAGCTGTCTTTAGATACTGTTTGTGTGCCCTCATAAATTATAACCTACAATTTTGAATAAATTCACACATCTAGTGTTCATGCCAACAATTCTGAACCCGTGTTGGTTTCTGCTTGGAGTACGTCAGGGAGGGCTTTGGCCCATAGTCGGAATCAGGTTCAGGAGGCAAGAGATCTGTTAGCAAAATCCCGTGAAGACATTTCCCGTAAAGGCTTCTGACAACGTGACTGATACTGGAAGAAAAAGAGACTGTCGGTGCTTCAGAGGTCCTGGAGTGTGCTGGAAAGCGTGCAAGGCTGTGGTACGTACTTAGAAAAGCAGCTGCAGACAAGCCCGTGCAAGGAGAACACTGGGAGAACTGCAAAGAGGGTAACTAACTCTCTTGGCAAGCAAGAGGGAAGGTAAGAGAGAGGCAGCAGTGAGAGCCGAGAGCCTAAAAACATGACTGATTAGAATTTCTGTTTAAAAGATTGCAGGACACATGGCAGTCCTGACTGCTTACCTGGCTGTGTTTATAAGCAGAAAAGTCTCCCAGCTTGTATTTACCACTGTGCTGCAAAGACTCACCGTTTGCATTTTATGGCTGGCTGCAAATGAGTGGGTAGCCACCAATCCAGTTGCTAGTTAGATTAGCCTAAATCTGCCGATTTTCTACTATGTCTCCCAAGTTCCTCTAATTCCTTGCCTTTTCCACCTTGGAAATACCCCAAACCAACTGGAAAGTAATACATTTGGCACATCAAGGCTTTGATGTCAGCTGAAAACGATGACAAACTAACCAAATTTACAAGGCACTGCTAAGGTCCCGGATTTCACTGGAGGCAGTCACTTACGTTTCATTAGAAAGGGCGCAGGTCGTTGCTGGTAAAGCCGCACTGATTGTGATGCTCTAGTGAGTCTCGGAAAGGGAGAATTACACTAGTCATCTAACTGTTCTTAACAAGCTTTCTGCTCCAGTTCTTCTACCCCAAACCTGTAAACAACTATCATGAATAAAGACTGACAAGCAAGCAATCTCTTAAGTCTTTATACATAAAATTAAGGCTGGAGTCTTCATTACATAGCAACTGCCATTACATTATTTCCATGAAGAATGTTTTTTGAGTGGTCATTGAAAATGACTAATAGAAAATACCCAAACACTGCCCCCATCCCCATTAAATTTTGAAAGTGAAGATTTCCCCCTGACATTTCTCACTGCATTCTCTTTCCTGGAAACAACAGCACTTCCTTCCCCATCACTGTTTGATCCTTTGGAGGCAAGGTGATGCCATTTTGGATAGCAAAAGTCTTGGAAATTTTCAATCTTTGGGGTTTTTTCTTGTCAAACTGACTCAAATTCTCTCTGCCAAGCTGTGTACTTCTGGCTTAGATTCTTTGCTGATGGCTTGGTATGGGTGATCACATCCAGGAAATCTGCTGTTGTGATCGTGTCTAATCGGATCACAGGTAAGTTACTGTTACCTAAAGAGAATTGATTAAATACTGTTACTATTACCAAAAGACATTCTTTTATGTCCCTGTCTAATGCAACACTTAATATACAAAAATAACAGAATAAACCTAGTGAGATAAAGAAAAATTCATATTGGTGCACAGATACTGACAGTTTTAAAAAAAGGCCTGGTTTTCAGAAATGTTAGCTTAGGTAGATGCTTTAGAGATGTACAGTTTAAAACTTTTCTAAGCAGATAACAGAGCTCCACCTGCTGGGGTTAACATTATAATTTCTAGAGCTACAGCAGATCATCAGCATTTCCCAGATCAGATTCTCTCCTCAGAGCTGTAGTACCTGGCTGATGATTTTCAAGAGCATCGAAGATTTTCCTCACTGGTCTCATGGCTGCTTCCTTGCACACGAGTTTTATGTCTGAGCCAGAGTACCCATCTGTTTCCTGTAACGGGATCAGAATGATACGTTGCAGCTTATAGCCTTACAAATGGGACAGGAATGGCATTTACAAGCATATATATTTATATAAAATATTTGTAAAGTCTATTCCTGTCTGAAATGTATGTGTATATATATACACATACATACTTTTATGTGTACTCTCCCCTCAACTTACATTGCTTGTTCTCGTTTTGAGTGCCTGCAGTACCTTGTAGGAGCAAGGAAAATACTGGACGTTTTCCTTCTGTAGGGCAACTTTCTGTAGGTCAAATAAAACCTGCCTTTCTGTGTCTGTTCCCAGCTTTCCTGTTAATAAAATAACTACATTTCCTCATTAACATTGATGAAACAAAAACTGAGCAGTATTGTCTCTGTGAACGGACGTAAAAAGGGCCAACTGGGTAAGCTGTTAGATATTTTCAAAGAATTCAGGATGTGACAAAGGGCTACATGAAGAAAGCCTGCTATTTAGTGAATCTCTTCACTGTCTAAATGCTCTTTTCTCCCGCAGCAGTGGAGCTGTGACAAACCTTCCCTACACAATTAACTGTTCGTTACCCCGATGAATTGGAAGTGCTCCCAGCCTGCTGAGAAGAGTGATAAAATATACTGTTGCTGGAAGTCTCCCTGTATTTAAGGCTGAAAAGTTGGCCCAACAGAGAGGATCAGAATACACCATTTTGCAAGCAGAGCTGCGTGAAACCAGTGATTTCCATGGCCAGGTATGTGCCTGTGAAATGCTCGGCCCCGTGTCTTGCTGGAGCCTCAAACTGAGCTGCGGTCCTTCCCCCAGGCTCTGTACATCGCAACTGGTGTATATGGAGGTGCTGTCCCAACCCTCCGCTTTGGACCTCTTCTGCCACAACGTAATCCCACTGCTGTGGGTGATGTGTGTCACTCTTGCTTATGGTTCCCACCCGGAAAGACCTCAAGCACCAAGCGGGCATTGTCCCTGCTGCAGTTTTTGTCTCACCTGGCCCAGCAAGCTGTAGTCCAGATCCGTTCTCAGCTCCACGCCTCCGCTCTTGCTCAGAGGGGGCAGCCAGTGCTGGATCATCACCCGACGTGCCTCTTTACTTGGGAGGTCAACCAAAATCCTCTTCTCCAACCGCCGCAGCATGGCGGAATCTAACTCCCTGCAAGCAAAGGAGGAGAGGAATCGTCTCAGCGCATCTCGTTGCGGAGACGTGGCGTTGACAGCAAGCTCCTCGCTGCAGGGACTGACATTTTTCAACCCCCCCTGTAACTGTGTCAACCTAATTCTGGAAAAAAAAAAGAAGTATTAATTATCCAGTGTATTCCTAATACATGGAATGTATTACATGTTCAGTATGTTAGCAATATGCTGGCTTGTGACAATGAGGCTTAACAATAACAATCACAAGTTGTTATCTTCCCTGGCGCTGGTACTCATCTGCAGTGTGTCTCATCAGTAACAACCTCTCCCTTTCTCCCTTTGCTATTAAGGAGATACTACAAATTGTCTGTCTAGGGCACTGTCAGGACTAATTAACTGCTACTTTGTAAGGGATGCTCAGTAGGTATAAAATACAGACTGAAGGTCTCAGATGTGAGGGCCATGTTTATGGCAGAACAAGATGTTGATCTGAGACTGCTCCTGCAATACAAATTACAAATAATACAACCACAAAGGAAAATATCCCTATAAAAAGGATCATATGAAGGATGGACAGGCTGGATAAATGGGTCAGTGAGCCAAGAAACCATGATGCTGTCAACATCAACACCAATAGAGGTGTTTTGTCAAAACAAAACAAAACAAACAAACAAAAAAGATAAAATACAAAAGATTGGGACTATTCTTCATTTCTACTTGCTTGTGATGAACAAAGGAAGCTTGAAAGAAAAAGGAATGTTTCTTTGTGTTCCTTTCTCAATGCACTTCATCACCATCTAGAAATAGTCCTTCTTGCCAGTGCCACAGATTCGATCAAGTGTCAGGAGTCCTGGTACGCCCGGCATGCCAGCTCCTCTCCAACACGTATCCAAACAGTTCATTTTAATCTAGTTTTTTTCCCTAAGTGCTTTTCAGTTGTTTGCAGCTAATGGTAATACAACCAAACAACTAAATACAAATTCCTACTGCAGTTCATCCCTTGTCATTTGTGTAATGGGAACAGTCTACAAGTACCCCAGTCATCCATAAAATTTTCAAGAAGAAATAGCTGCTACAAAATATTTACTCACTCATAAGTCTCCAGTGCCTTCCAGGAGCTGCTCTGAGCTATTATCCTTAGAGGTGCTCTACCAATCTTTCTCTACCGGCCCCATTGAGTCACTTGTTATTTCAGTTTAAAATATAATTCAGTCCTCATACCTGCTGAGAAACTCTCATCAAAGGGAAACTCACTTCACTGTGTCTTGCGTGGACAGAAAAACAGGAGCCCTAAGCACCATTTCCACCCTTGTTGGCTGAGCAGGAGCCAGCTGCTGGAGGACTGCACCTGCAATCTGGGACTGTGGGTACACTTAAACCTGCCTCTACCTTTCCCGATTCCCTGGGTGAAATCTTTTTGCCAGCAAAGTCAACATTCCAAGAAACACTTCTTGTATGAAACTCCTCTTTAATTTACAGGGAGCTCAAAGCCAGCTCAAGACAGATCTGTAGCACACCCATAGAGATTATTTCTGTCACCTTTGATGACTGTGTCCCTATTTTTTAAAAGCAAATGCTTTGTACTGGCATAGCACATGATAAAGAAAACCAAAAATGTGCTCCCAAATCTCCATCTAGGTGCCTGCCTAAGTTTTCCACAGATCTCAGCACATCTGGCTCTCGGCTCAGCGAGAGCAGTAGTGTCCCTTTCCCCAGAAAGGACCTCTCAGTTTGGGAGAGCTTGTTCCACATGCACTGAGCCAAGGGCAATGAAAGCAAAGATCAGAAAAC